TGTTTGTGTGTGTGCGAGTGTGTATGTGCGTGTGTGCGTGTGGGCGCGTGTCTCTGTGTGTGTGTGTGTGCGAGTGTGTATGTGCGTGTGTGCGTGTGGGCGCGTGTCTGTGTGTGTGTGTGTGTGTGTGTGTGTGCGTGCGTGCGTGCGTGCGTGCGTGCGTGCGTGCGTGCGTGCGTGCGCGTGTGTGTGTGTGTGTGTGTGTGTGTGTGTGTGTGTGTGTGTCTGTGTGTGTGTGTGTGTCCCGAGCCCGTAGCCTGTCTCAAGCACTGAGCCCACGGCAGCGAGGGGAGCTGCCAGGTGGGCGGGGGAAGGGGGAGGTCAGACCAGCGCGCGCGCGCGGCGCCGATGACCACCATAACGAAGATTGGAATCCAGGGGATTCGGAGCTTCGACCATGAGACGATGGAGATCATCGAGTTTGAGCGCCCCGTCACGCTGATCGTCGGCCCCAATGGCTCGGGCAAGACGACCATCATCGAGTGCCTCAAGATGGCCTCCGCGGGCCTGCTGCCGCCCGGCGCGCGCAACGGCCACGGCTTCGTGCACGACCCGCAGGTGGCCCGGCTGCCGGAAGTGAAGGGCCAGATCAAGATGCTCTTCCCCCGGGAGGAGGAACCAGCACACGAGCACCGGGCTTCGGAATTGCGCGCGGATGTTTCTGGGATCTGCGCCGGCCCCCCCCCCTCCCCGGGGGCGCCTCGTGTGCCTCCCCTCGCGCGCTCCGCGCGCGCCAGGGAGGGGGTCCGGCGCCGATCCGAGCGCTCCGCGCGGACCTCCGAAAGTGCATGCTTGTGCTGCTCTTTCTGCTTCTGCTTCCGCACCGGAGGCGCAGCGGACAGGGAGGTCTGCGCCACCCGCTCCTTTCAGCTCACGAACAAGCGCGTGGGCGGGCGCCTGCGGCCGCAGTACAAGGCGCTGGAGAGCGTGCTGAAGACCCACAAGGACGACGGTGGCTACGCCAGCGTCAGCCACAGGTGTGTGGACATGGACCAGCAGGCCTCGTGTCGGCGGCGAGCGAGGGGAGGAAGTGAGAAGGAGAAGGCCCTCTCAGAAGGCGGCGGGACTTCTCAGAAGGCCCCGGGCCTTCTGAGAAGTCTTTCCGTGTCTTCGGGGAAGGCTTAGAACATTTCTCAGAAGGTCTGGGGTTAAGTCGGGCCTGTCCCCTACAGGGGGAATGTTCAAAAATAGTAAAACAATAGCCTGGGGACGATTTGTTGAATACTTTTTTGGCCATTTTGGGGCATTTTTTGCATATTTTCTATTCTGCATCCAAAATCCCCCTGTAGGAGGACAGGCCCGACTGCAGCCTGGGGACTTTCGAGCCTTCTGACCCAGGCCTCCTCCTCCTCGCCTCTCCTCCCCCCCCCGGGGCGCGCCGCCGATCGTGGGGGCGGAAGGCATCTCATCGACGGCCCCGCGGGCAGAGGCCCCCGGGCGCGCGGCCCCACGGATGCGGGGGCGCATCTCCGCGCGCGCTCCGCTCGGGGCGCATTTCGTGCGACCGCGCCTCCGCGGGGCTGCGGCGGAGATCGGGGCTGGACGGAGCCCCCAACAGTGACACGTCGATTAGTGAATGGTCCGTTTTCGGTTCTCGAGAGGGCGCCGTGGCCGTCACTTTCCAGGCTTGCGCCCGCCAGGTTTGGGCCTCAGGTCGTTTTCACTGCACCACGTTTTGCTAAAGGGGGGTCTGCCCATCCCCGAAAAGAGCCCCGACCGCGAGGGCGTGGATATAGAGATACGTCCGCCGCTCGCGAAGGTCCCCGAGCTCATGGGCGTCACGCGCGCCATCCTGGAGAGCGTGATCTTCTGCCACCAGGAGGACTCGTGCTGGCCGCTGCAGGACGCCGCCGCGGTGAAGAAGCGCTTCGACGACATCTTCGGCGCCACGCGCTACACGAAGGCGCTGGAGAACATCAAGGTGCTCCAGCGCGAGTGGACCAAGACCATGCGCGACCGTAGGGCAGAGGCCGACCTGTCGCAGGCGCACATGGACCAGGCCACGAAGCTGGCGTCCCAGAAGGACGAGCGGGAGAAGGCTAGCTCGGATCGGACAAAAAGTTTCTTGGCCTCCCAGATGGGGTCGGAGGCCCGCACCGCATCGTCGAGGCGTCGGCGATGCGGCTCGATGTGGAGCCCGATTCTCTCCACGCTGATGTCGCCGATGCATCGCCGATGTCGACGATGCACCGCCGATGCATCGGCGATGTATCGCCGATGTATCGGAGATGCGGCGCGATCCTCCGACCCCACCTGCTCCGACCCCATCCAGGAGGCCGCTAAAGTTGGCGCACGAGGAACGGTGCAGCGCGGCTGGAAAGCTTGTGCCTCCTCCGGCGGCACGTCGGGGTGCAAACTTCCCAGCCGACCTGGGACAGGCGTCCCCGATGGCGAATCATCTTATCGCATATGGTTCCTCGTCCGCTAGGTAAGGGGCCAAGAAGGGTGGGATAGGGAAGGAGGGGTGGTGCGACATCTGCTGCATGCAGCTGCTTTCCGCCCCGCCGCCAGGCGGGTGCATTCTTCGGTGCGTGGGCCCCTCTGTGCCTGGAGGTGCAGCTGCGTGAGCTGACTCACCACCCTCCCTCCCCTGCTCTGTCCCCCCGTTCATCCGCCCCGAAAGGTGGTGGAGGAAATCGCGACGAAGCTGAGGGATCTCGACGCCCAGGTCGGGAAGAGCAGCGAGTCCATCCAGCAGGCCGAGATGCAGCTGGTCAAGTACGAGAGCGGCGGCACCCGCGTCGCCGAGTTGCGGAGCCTCATCGCCCGCTGCGAGGAGGAGCGGCGGGAGGTGACTCGCGACATGGAGGAGCGGCAGCAGGACATCTACCGCGAGTCCCTCGAGGAGCTGAAGAGCCAGGCGCAGCACTTCGCGGAGGTGGTGATGGTGCAGAGCGCGCAGAAGGTGCAGCAGGCCAAGAAGGCCCACGCGGAGGGCGAGGGCCTCTACAGGGCCGCGGTGGACGCCGCCCGCAAGCTCCGCGAGGAGATGGGCGACACCCTGGCCGCGGCGGAGCTGATCAGCTCGCGCAAGGCTGGGAGGGGCTCCAGGGGTGCACCAGGTCTCCTACGGTAGGTTTGCGTCGTGTCGACCAGCGGCGACCCCAGCGCGGGCGTTCAAGGTTGAACGCCGCCGGCGACCCAGAATCGATCGATGTTGAACGATCGGACGTTGCGGCAGCGGCCGATCGTTCAAGGTTGAACGATCCCTGCGGTGTCAAAAACCAACGCCGAAGTCGGCACGACACGGACCTGCCGTAGCTGAGCAAGGGCCTCGGTGTATCGACGCCCCAGCTGCTCAACCTGTGGGGCGCTGGAGCGTCTATGCGCCGGCTCCCTTCGCCGAACTTCTTGGCTCCTCTGCCGACCAAGCGACGTGGTGTATACATCCAGCCTTGAGTCGAGCCTGTCCCCCTACAGGAGGATTTTCGACGAAAAATGAAACATACCCCCAAAATGCCCCCCAAAGGTCAAAACATACTAAAACATAGTCCCCCGATTATTTTGTTTTTTTTGACAATATATATATATATATATATATATATATATATATATCAATTTTCGTCGAAAATCCCCCTGTAGGGGGACAGGCCCGACCTAAATCCAGCCCCTCCGACAGGCGGAGCTGGCCGGCAGACTGCAGCAGGTCGGCGAGCCCTCGGTCGCGGCGCTGCGGGCGCGCGTGGACGCCGCCCACGGCGAGCTGCAGCGCTCCGAGCGCGACCTGCAGCAGCGCGGCGCCGCGGCGGAGGCGGAGCTGTCGGAGGCGGAGCGCGTCCTCGGCAAGGCGAAGCAGGACGCCTTCTGCAACGAGGCGTCAGAGGAGGAGAACGATGCCGACACCGCTGCTCGTCCTGGAGAGCCCTCGCCGCCACGGCCGGATTCGCCTCGAAAACCTGGTCAGAACGCGCTCCAGGAGAGGTCCCGGGAGCAGCGCTGTCGGTCCCTTTCTCTGCTTCCCCAAAGGCGCGCGCTGGGGACGCCCAAGGCATCATCCGGCACCTCGAGGAGGAGGCGAAGACGCTGGTGGACGCGGTGCCCAACCTGGACGCGCTGATGCGGTGCATGCGCGAGAACGAGGCCGCGCTGGGCGCCGACGGGAGCGACTCGCGGCAGCGCAGGCTCGAGGCGCGGCAGGAGGAGATCGGCCGGCGGCGGCACGACCTGCAGTACTCCATCCAGCGCAAGAGCGGCGAGGTGGCCCAGATCGAGGCGCAGAGCGAGGCCCACTTCCAGGTGGACGCGCTTCGGCGGCAGCTGTGCGAGGCCGAGAACGACCTGGGCACGAGGCTCGCCGAGGCGCGACCCCGGCTGGTGGCGGCGCTGGGGCAGATGCCGGAGGCCGCCGAGTCCGAGGCGAGGGTGCTTGCAGAGGCGCAGCAGGTAGACGAGCAGCTGAAGAAGCAGAGGCAGGCCTGCCAGGAGCTGCTGCACCGCCGCAGCACCGCAGCCGCGCGGCACCAGGCCGCCGAGGCGGAGCTGAGGCGGGCGCAGGCGGAGGAGTCCCGCCTCGCTGCGGAGCTGGGCGGCGGCGGGCATGCCGAGTTCTTGGCGCGGATCACGGCGCAGCGGGAGCTGGTCGAGAACATGAGGAAGGACGTGGCGATGACGGAGAGTGCAAAGCACATGTACGAGAAGTTCCGCGAGAAGTCGCTGACGAAGAACACGTGCCAGTTCTGCCGTCGCGGCTTCAACAGCGAGGAGGACAGCGCCAGGTTCGAGGAGACTGTGCACAAGCTGATCGAGAAGATACCCACGTACCTGGAGGAGAGCCACCGCAGGATGGGCGAGGCGCGCGAGGAGCTCAACCGCCTGGAGGCGCACCTGCCGCGCTGGGACCGGCTGGAGCAGTTGCGGCAGGTTGATATACCCCAGAAGCAGAAGGCCCTCGCCACCTGCGCCGAGGAGGAGCGCGCCACGCAGGCGGCGGCCGAACCGGCGGAGCGCGAGCGGCGCCGCCTGGAGGACCTGGTGCAGCAGCTGCAGGAGCTGCGCATGGTCGCCGGCGCGCTTCAGCGCAGCGCCGCGGCAGCGGAGGAGCTGCGCGGCAGCGTGCGCGCGAAGGAAGCGCGGCTGCTGGGCGCGAACTCCAAGGTTTCGCTGCAGGCCGAGCGCGACCAGCTGCGCACGCTGCAGGAGCAGCTCAACGAGCTCGGCCGCGAGGAGGATGCGGTGCGCACGCAGCGGGAGCTCCTCGGGAAGCAACAGGAGCAGCTCCGCACGCAGCTGGCCGAGCAGAAGGGCCGCCTGCAGCTGCTGCAGGCGCAGGTGGCCCGCCAGGGCGACGTGGACCGCGAGCTGACCAACCGGCAGGCCGAGCTCCGCAGCTGCAGCGAGGCGGCTCAGCGCGCCCGCGCCGTCGTGGAGGAGAGGAGCGCCGCGGCCAGGGTGCTGCGGGAGCGGCACCAGGAGCAGAGCGCGGCTGCGCGCCGCGACCTGGACGCCCGGCGGGAGCAGGTGCCGCGGGGACACTCACTGGCCACTGACCACCACGCCGATACTTGGCCAGGGCTCATCCCGGGCACAGGCACCGAGCCCTGGGCCCAGGATCGGCCTGGCCAGGCTCGGCGAGGCGGGCAGTGCCGGCGCCCCGCCAAAGGTGGTGGCGCTGCAGCGCGAGGCGGACGCGGCGTCCGAGATGGAGAGGTCCATCGACGCGATGGCCCGGCGCGTGGCCGACGCGGACGCGCTGAAGGCGAAGCTGGAGGCCTCCGACGCAGAGGTGGCGACGGCGGAGCGGGAGCTGGCGGGCCTGCGCGAGCGGCTCGACGGCGAGGAGGAGCGCCGGCGGAAGCGCGACGAGGTCCGGCAGTGCCTGGACGCGAACCTGCGCCTGAAGAGGCTCGAGGCGGAGTCGGGGCGGCACGAGGCCGAGGCGGCCGAGCTGCTCCGCGAGCTCGGCGGGAAGGACCTGGAGGCGCTGCGGGGGGAGCTGGTGGCGGCGCGGTCGCGGGCGATGGAGCTCAGCATCGTGTAGCCTATCCCCATCCCCACCGGGCTATGGCGTCTCAGCCCCACCGGCCCACCCTCCGAGGTGGGGGTAGGCCCCGCGAAGACCGAAGGAGCAGGCATCTGTCCCCACCCGGGTGGGTAAGTCGGCCAGCGGGGCCAGAGCCACGCCAGTGGGGATAGGGATCGGTCAAGCGATGCCCAGGAGCTGCAGAAGCAGCGTTCCTTCCACGCGGGCGAGCTGGCGCAGACGCAGGAGGCCGTGCGCTCGCTGGCAGCGGACCTGGCGAGCCCGCTCTACGCGGGGGTGGAGCAGCGGCACCGCGAGGCGATCATCAAGGCCGAGACCGCGGTCTTCACCGTGAGGGACATGGGCAGGTACCACTCGGCGCTGGACAAGGCGCTGATGAAGTACCACTCCATGAAGATGGAGGAGATCAACAAAACGATCAGAGACCTGTGGCAGCGCGTGTACCGAGGGCGCGACATCGACAACAGCCGGCTGCCTGCGGCAGGCCCGCCCCCGCGCCAGCGGGGCGGCGCTGCGGCGAGGGGGCTGAGCTTTTAAGACCCGCTCGACGCTCGGTGTCCGTGGCCTCGTGCTCTCTCCCTCGCTGCCTCTCCTCTTGCGCCACCCTTGCCCCCCCGCCTCCCCTCTCCCTCGCGTCCGGCAGGCTTCCTGGGGGGGCTCCCGCGGGGCCTCCCGGGCTCTCTGGAGGTCCTCTGGCTCAGGGCGCTCGCTGTGGACCCGTGGTGGGCTCTCTGGGCGTGCGGGGACCGTCCTGGGCGCGCCCGTTCTGCCGAGCTCTCTCAACTCAGTACAGTCAACCCGCATAGCAAGGGTGGGCACTTCTCCTAAGGGCACCCTTGCATCCTTGCCTCCTCGGTCCATGCTGGGCCACTCACGCTGGCCGCGCCCCGCCCGAGAAGCTTCGAAACGGCCTTCCAAGGCCCTTGCATCCTCATCGTGCATCCTGCTGATACGGGTCGACTGTAGTCGGCGTCACCCCAACACACTCATACTATGCGTCGCCCACCCAGGGGCGACGCGCGCACCGAGGAATCTTACAGTATATGCGCCGTGGCGGGCGCTTTCTGGCCACACCGCTAGGGGAACGGTACACTTCAAGATGGGTGTACTAAGTGTTCGGGTCGGACGCGCGCCTCTACGGATTACATGTATACATATATATATATATATATATGTATGTCTATATCTATCGTATTCGTATGTCTTTGTGCGTCCTATGTAGGCTCGACGGAGCGACCTCGAAGACGTCTGCGTGGGCCTCGGAGTGCCGTTTATCGCCGGCCGCTCGCCAGAAAGAGCCGGCTCGCCGCCGACCAGACGTGTTGGGTCTCTGGGCCATCTCCGGATGGCTCTCTCAGGGCGGCCTTGTGGGTGGTCCTCTGGGGGATTCCACACGGCCTCTTGGGCCGCCTTGGGGGGGTTCTCGAGGCATCCTGGGCCCCCTCTTGGGGACGTCTGGGTCGGGGCCGTCTCGGTGCGCTCTTCAGGCGGTCTCGGGACGTCCTGGGGCTCCGTGGGAGCTCTCTTGACCGTCTCGGGCGTGGCTTCTTGGGGCTCTCGGAAGTCTTCTGGAGGCGAGCTGAAGCCGAACCACGTCGGACGCGAAGCGCCTTGCTTTCCACATGCTTCTCAATGCTTTCCGCCTACGGTGTCGCTGGAGCCTTCTTTGGGCGTGTCCGGAAGGACTGTTCGGGCGGCGGAATCTATACATATCCACAGCTCCCTGGCCAGGCCCATCCTGAACCCAGGAATTGTGTACACGCCCTCCTGGCCGAGCCGGGAGGGCGCGGCGCATGCAGCGCTGCCGGGTTGAGGATGGGCCGGGCCAGGGAGCGGCGGAGATGTGTGTAGATCTCGTCGCCCTGACTTCTGGGGGCTCTCTGGGGCCTCGCTGGATGCCTCTTGGAGACATGGGCGCCTCCCGGCGCCTCCCGGCGCGTGAGCTGATTCTCACCCCCCCCCCGTTGCTATCCCCCCCTTTCGCCCGATCCGATCTTGGAGCCTCCTCCGGGGACTCGCGAAGCCCTCCCGCGCGGGTCCTCGGGCACACCCCGCAGCCGGGCCCGTGGCCGCGGGCCGGCCGCCCCTGGAGGGCGCCCGGGAGCAAAGCCGGGGGGAGGGGGGCTCTGAGGCTGCCCGCGGGCAGGGGGGGGAGGGGGGGGGCAGGGCGAGTCCTCCTCCTCCTCCTCCTCCTCCTCCTCTTCCTCCTCCTCCTCTCCTCCTCCTCCTCCTCCTCCTCCTCCTCCTCCTCCTCCTCGGCCACTACGACGAAGCCAGGGCGAGCGGGGAAGTCAGTAGGGCGAAGCCAGGTCGAGGACGCGCAGATATGGATTGCGGCGCGCGGATTGGCGACGGGTCCCGCTTCCGTGCAGAACCAGCGCACTCCGCCGCCAAACCAGGCCGCAGTGGCCTCGTGCTCCGGGGTTGCTTTCCCCGCTCCGTGGGTCCGGCGCCCACGCGCCAGATCCACGGGTACGTATATAATCCATGCCAGTGTGTGCCCGAGGGGAGTCGCCCCAGAAAACGTCAGAAGCCCTGCTCGACAACCAAGGAGCATTCGAGCACGCCGCGGCGTGCCCAGGGCACGGCGGCGGATTGCCATACGATCGGACGTCGACGAGTCCGATGGGCAACAGGGCGATGTCCCCGATGCTGGGACGGCCGGGAGGGCGCTCAAGTCCTACAACTACAGAGTTGTTATGCTCTGTGGGGATACGGAGCTGGACATGAAAGGGCGATGTAGTGCTGGCCAGCGGGTGCTGGCCTCGCTGATCATCCGGCTGGCGCTCGCAGATTCATTCTGCATCAATTGCGGGGTCCTTGCGCTGGACGAGCCCACGACGAACCTCGACAGTCGCAACATTACCAGTCTTGCTGAGGCTCTAGCTGCGCTCATCGAGGCAAGACGCAGGACCAAGCGCTTCCAGCTCATCATCATCACTCACGACGACGCGTTCGTCGACATCCTGTCCGCCTGCAAAGTGTCTGACTGGTACTACCACATACAAAAGAACGACAAGGGCTGCTCGAAGGTGCAGAAGCGCGAGATGCGTCTACTCGCAGGGTGAGGCCCGCGGACGGCAGGGGTACACCAGCCTGGAACACATCCTTGTCGCTATGGGTTGCAGCACCTGATCTCGATGCCGATCTTCAGGATTTTCTCAGTTTCTGCAAGGCGCATCCCTGAGATTGTCATAGCCCTGTGGGCTTGTCAGTCTCAGGGGTAGAGAAGACCGAGGCTGGTTAGGGGTGCCCGCAGCGCCGCCGCACAGCGGTCCCCGCGGCCGAGTGGCGCGGGTGCTCTCCGACTGCCGCTGCTGTTGCTGCTGCTGCTGCTGCTGCTGCTGCTGCTCCCTCTCCCCTCCCAGACCCCAGACGTTGTGTTTTTTTTTCACAGCGTCGTCCCCCAGAGGTCTGGACCCCTTCCCCGGGAACGGCTTTGCATCCCGAGCCGTCTTTTGCCGGCCCCAGGACCTGGTGAGGGGCCGAAAATAGAGAAAAACCGCCCGTCGTGTTTTTTCACGACGCGAGGGGGTCTGGGCCCTCCGCAGCAGGGCACCGACGCACTACGCCCAGGTCCCGGCCAGGGCCAGCCCGGGCCCTGGGAGGGTGGTGCACACCGTGCTGGAGCCCTGGGAGGGCCCCGGCTGGGCGTGGCGGTGGTGTCTGGACCTAGGCCTCCCAGATGGGGTCGGAGTAGATGGGGTCGGGAGATCGCGCCGCATCGCCGATGCATCAGTGATGCGGGTCGATGTGGAGCCCGATCTTCTCAACGCGGACGTCGCCGCTGCATCGCCAGCGTCGCCCATGCATCGTCGATGTATCGACGATGCATCGCGGATGCATCGCCGATGCGGCGAGATCCTCCGACCCCATCTACTCCGACCCTTCGCCGGAGTGACCTTGGGTACTGGGGCTCCCAGATCGCCGAATGCGATGCGACAGCTACGTGCGCGCCTAGTGGTGCTCCACAAGGACCCCCCCTTGGCCGTGCACTAAAGGTCACTGTTGCCTGGGGTCACTCTTGCGTGTAGCCGATGTCAGGCGGGCGGCCATGGGTGGTGACCTACAGTGGCAGTGCACCTTTCGGCCCCCTGCCGGCTCCAAGAGGGGCCCTAGAGGGCCCAAAAGGGCCCTTTTCTTCACCCCCCCCATTTTAGGTCACCCCCATGACCACCCGCCAGAGTGTAGATTTGCGTGCCCTCTTGCCTCCTCGGACGGGGCTAGGACGAGGATCAATCCATTCCAGAGCGTTCTGGAACGCTCTCGGAGCGTTCCGGAACGCTCTGAGAAGGCCGCGGCGCCCGATACATCGAGCCGCCCGACCTCAGACATTCTCGATGCACCCTCACGCGAAGTTGTCCTCGTCCTGGCTTCGCCTTAGGTGTCCGATCTGCGTGCCCTTCCTCCCTCCCGCTCCTCCTCCGCTCCAGGGCGCGCCCGGGCTCACGCGGTCAGGGCAAGCCCTCGCGGGGGGCGGCCGACGGGCCCCCCTCTGCGGTGTGCAACACGCCGCCGGGCCCGTGCAGCGGGGGAGCCTTGGTAGCCTGGTAGGTAGGCGGCGCTCGGGGTGCACAGGCTCAGCGCAGTTAGATCCCCCAAGCCCGAGACTCGAAACGCAAGTCGCCTTCTCTCGCACTGGGCTTTCGTTTTTTTTGTTTTTTGTTCTCTCTCTCTCTCTTTCTCCATCTCGCTCTTCCTCGCTCTCTCTCTATATATACGTAGCACCCCGCAGTCACGGATAAGAGTGAGGGGGCGGCGGGGACGTCGGCAGTCTGCGAGGCTCTGAAGGAGCCCGCCGAAGGCGTTTTTTTTTTTTTTTTTTTTTTTTTTTTTTTTTTTTTTTTTTTTTTTTTTTTTCTTTTCAAAAAAACAAATATACAAAGAGCCCGCCGCAGGCGACGATTTTTCTTTAAAGCAATGTGGGTGAGTCGCGGGGTGGGTTGCGGGTGGGTCGCGGGTGGGTCGCGGGCCGGGTCGCGGGTGGGTCGCGGGTGGGTTGCGGGTGGGTCGGGGGTGGGTCGGGGGTGGGTCGCGGGTGGGTCGCGGGCCGGGTCGCGGGCTGGTCGCGAGCGGGTCGCGGGGTGGGTCGCGGGTGGGTCGCGGGTGGGGCGACGCCGAACAACATTAACAACAACAGCAACAACAACACCACCAAAAACAACAGCAACAACACCACCAACAACAACAATATTTACAACAACAACAACAAAAACAACCGCAACAACAGCAACACCAGCATCAGCAACAACGACAACAACACCAATACCACCACCAACAACAGCAACAACAACAATAAACGAACCATCTTAAGACTGTTCGCTCTTATCTGCTCGAGTGTCATTCAACGTGTATTTCCCGAACCCTCGATACCCGCCCTTTTCGTTTTCGATCGTGCCCCTTTGGGGGGGTATATACTTCTTCCCTGCAGGCTGGGCCCTGGCAAGCGGCGGGGCGGCCGCGGACCGTCGGCCTGGCCAGCGGCAGCGCTGATCGGCGGCAGCCCGACCCCAAGAGGGACGGACAGGGGACCGACCACGACGGCGACGACGACGACGGCGACGACGACGACGAGCGAAATCGAGAGCGAGAGCGAGAGCGACAGGGGGGCCACAAAGGGCAGGAAGGGGACCACGAATGGCGACAGCGGGGCCACGAAGGGCATGCGTATGGAGCCACGAAGGGCGCGAATCAGCGGGGGCCACGAAAGGCAGATAATGTGGAACCACAGAGGGCAAGGACGGGCCAATGAGACCACTGAGGGTAGCAACGGGGCCACGCAAAACAGCGAGGGGGCCGCAAAGGGCGACCGCTGGGCCGCGAAGGGCGCGCAGATGGAACCACGACGGGCGCGAACGAGCGGTGGCCACGAAGTGCATGTGTATATTAGGCCGCAGGGGACAAGGACGGGGCCGGTGAGGGCAGCAACGGGGTCACGGAGGGCAGCGAGGGGGCCGCGAAGGGCGATGGCGGGGCCGCGAAGCGCACGCATATGGGGTCACGACGGGCGCGAACGAGCGGGGGCCACGAAGGGCATGCATACATAGGACCACGAAGGGCAGCTAGGGGATCACGAAGAGCTGCAACGGGGCCGCGAAGGGCAGCGAGGGGGCCACGAAGGGCTGCAACGGGGCCACGAAGGGCAGCGAAGGGGCCACGAAGGGCTACGACGGGACCGCGCAGGGCAGCGAGGGGGCCACGAAGGGTTGCAACGGGTCCACGAAGGGCGGCGAGGGGGCCACGAGAGGCTGCAACGGGGCCACGAAAGGCAGGGAGGGGGTCGCGAAGGGCTGCAACGGGTCTACGGAGGGCAGCGAGGGGGCCACGAAGGGTTGCAACGGGGCCACGAAAAACAGCGAGTGTGCCACGAAAGGCTACGACGGGACCGCGCAGGGCAGCGAGGGGGCCACGAAGGGCTGCAACGGGGCCACGAAAGGCAGGGATATCCCGATTTCTAAGTAAGCTGTGAGGGAGTCCTAAGCGTGAGCGCGTCTCCTGGGTGCCTGAGTGTCGGGATCGCGGCGCTTTAGTAAATTGCGGGGGGCTCCAGCGCTAGTGCGCGAGTCTTGAGTACATTGCAATCAAGTCTCCAGCGGGAGCGCGCCTCCAGAGCGCCGAAAGAGCGATTCCTGAATACATTGTAAGGAAGTCCCCAGCGAGAGCGCGCTTCCTGAGTAAGATGCGAGGAAGTCTCAGGCGGGAGTGGGGGCCTCTCGGGGGACTCTTGGAGGCAGGTGCGACGCAAGCGATGTCGACGCGCATGGTTTGAGGTCAATTAGCAGAGCGACGTCCCGCGAATCCGACGCGGAGCATTCCGGGATTCGCCAGTTCGGCGCGCATGTTTTGGGGCCAACTCGCGGAGCGGCGCTTCGTTAATCCGACGCGGAACACTCCGCGAATCGCATGAATGGAAGCATTCACACACTGATATTTACATATGTCTGTATGTATATATTTATGTATTTCGGCATGCATGCACGCATGCATGCATGCATGCATGCATGCATGTATGTATGTATGTATGTATGTATGTATGTATACGTTTTATAGATCTATGTATGCTGTAGGTATATGCGTGCGCTCTGGTTCGAGATCCCTAGAAAGCTGAATTTGTTCTTGTAGTTGAATTTGCACTAGGACCTGTAACACTACGTGTAGAAGGATTTGTTGTAGGAATTGTAGGAAGAGCTGTAGTGGGACCTGCAATGCTGACAGCACTACGGAGTTGACTCTGGATTTCCCGAGGAGCGGTAACCTTGGCAGTCATAGAAGATGGGGCTTGGGCTGTAGCAAAAGGAGCAAATGAATCTTGATGTAGGGGTTGCAGTGAGGGCCGTAACTTTGGCAGCAGTGGGACTCGCAACGGGCGCTGTAGTTGGGGGTGCAGTGGAGCTTCAATAGAGGTTGTAGCAGGAACTGTTCAATAGTTCTGGCAGGAGCTGCAAGGATAGCTGCGAGGGCTGCACTAGAGCCAGTTGTTTTAAGGTCTGGGGGATAACGGCCATGATCGGCCCTCTCCTTCCCGCCCCCCGATCATGTCACGCTGTTTTGCCCACGTTTGCAAATATTCCGACGGATTCTTCGATGATTCCCCAAGATTTCCGGTGGCCTCCCCCCGTGATGTGATCGGGGGCCCTCCCTCCCCCGATCACGCCCGTTATCGCGAATGACAAAAACAGGCTCTTATTGGTTGCGATACGGATTAAAGGCGGACCTGTATTGTGATATGTGCTGGAAGCTGTTCTGAACTGTAGAAGAGCTTCCGTCGGAGTTGTCGTGGGAACTGCGTCGTTGGTTGTTCTGGGAATGGCGTTGGCAAGTGTAGCGGGAGATGTAGGCGAGCTGCAGTAGACGCAGTGGCAGGATCTATATCGATAGCTGTGGGTCGGAGCTGTATCTGGAACTGGGGCGACTGCTGTGCTCTTGGCTGTAAAGTGATTGCAGTTGGAGTTGGATTGTAGTATGGATTGTAGTAATGAGCGGATAGAGGGAGAAAATGATAGGGGAATATACATAAAGAGCAACCTGTTCAGGAGAGAGAGAGAGAGAGAGAGAGAGAGAGAGAGAGAGAGAGAGAAAGAGAGAGGGAGAGAGAGAAAGAAAGAGAGAGAGAGAGAGAGAGAAATAAAGAAAGAGAGAGAGAGAGAGAGAAAGAGAGAGAGAGAGAAAGCAAGAGAGAGAGAGACAGAGAGAAATAGAGTGAGAGAGAGAGGGAGAGAAAACAAAAAGAAAGAGAGAAAGAGAGAGAACAACAAAAAGAGAGACACAGAGAACACCATTGTCCGTTTCAGCTTCTCCAGATCTGCCCATGTGAGAAAAACTGTTTTTTTCCGTCCTGCCATTTTGTTAATTTTGACTTGCTGGGAGAGCTTGCGCTAGTTGGGCAATCTCTCTTGGAATTCAGACAAGTTTGGAAATCTGAAGCGCATAGAAAACTTAGCGTTGTAGCGTTACCGAACATCATACATTAAACAACGCATTTTTTGGAGGGACTGCTCGACTTGCGCAGCCTCTCCGGGAAATCTGGCACATAAGAAATCACAGGAGTATGAACAACACAGCGTTTTCAATCGCAGAATCTGGTGGACACACACTGGCTTCCAGTTTCCTGACGTGCTTCTGGCGCGAGGGCGGAGAAGGAGGAGGAGGAGGAGGAGGAGGAGGAGGAGGGGAGGAGGAGGAATGTCAGGAGGAGGAGGGGAGGAGGAGGAGGCAGGAGGAGGAGGAGGGAGGGGGAGGAGGAGGAGGAGGAGGAGGAGGAGGAGGAGGAGGAGGAGGAGGAGGTGGAGGAATGTCTCGGAGGAGGAGGAACAGGAAGAGGAGGAGGAGGAGGAAGCGCAAAGGGAGGAGGAGGCGGAGGAGGAGGAGGAAACATATGGAAAAGAGGACAAAGAGGATTCAGGAGAAGAAATCGACTAGTGAATGCTTTGTTGTTTTGTTGGTTTTGTTGGGGTGCTGGAGGGGGGGGACGACCACATACACATATGTATATGTTTAATTATACGTATACGTATATGTATACACATATGTTTATGTTTAGTCTAATGTATTCGTATCTTTATATGGATATGTAACTATTTTCGTACATGTAGATGTATATGCATCTGCAAATATATACACATATGTGTATTTATGTTTGTATCGATGCATTTGTATTTGTGTTACATGTATGTATATGTATGTGCATATGTCTATGCATATGGGTTTGTACATGCCTGTGCACATGTATGTGTACATGTATACGTATATGTATATGTACATATATATATGTATAGGTTTAGGTCTATGTATAAACATATCCGTATACGTATATGTAGATGTATAGGTATATGTATATGTATTTGTATATGGGTATGTTTTGTATTTGTACCTGTACTTGTACATGTCTTTGAACATGTATACGTCTATGTACACGTATATGTATATATATGTATATGTATATTTATGTATAGGTATGTATACATTCGTGTTTGCATGTATGTATATTTATATGCATGTATGCATGTTTGTATATGGTTGCATCTATGTACGTATGTATGCATTCATGCATGCATGTATGTATGTATGCATGTATGTTTGTATGCATGTCTGTCTGTCTGTCTGTATGTATGTATGTATGTGTGTATGTATGTATGAATTTACCCAGACTCACAATCACACATATATGTATGTATACCTATACATTGCCGTTCTGGCTCAAGGAATTCCTACCTCAAGAAGTGTTGCGTTTGCACGTCCAGCCGCCTCCTTCACGGGGCCAGATCACAGAAAGTGCACACCACGATGATGGCCCCGTGCATGAAAGACGCGTGCGGTGGCGACGTGAAAGCCATCGCTTATGGCCTGTTCGTGACGCTCATCCTGTCGGCGACGATGGTGGTGGCAGGCTTGAAGGCGGGCATCACCCCAGGCGTCAGCCCGCTGGTGGTGCTGTGTGGCTGGGGTGCCTTTCGGAAGGCGTCGAGGGGCCCAGCCGGATCGCGCTTCCTGAACCTGAGCCAGGTGGCCGGCTCCGCTGGCATGGCAATCGTCAGCGGGGTGATCTTCTCGGAGCCGCTGCTCCAGGTCATGCACCTCAACTTCGCGCAAGATGAGCTGGACCGCCTAGGCGTGGAGAAGAAGCTGGCGGAGATGCCGTGGGGCGAGGCCCAGAGCCTGATGGCGCAGTACGGCCTGTCTATCCCAGAGGTGGACGTGCCCGTGAACATCATGGCCTGCCTCGTGGGCTCGCTGATCGGCTGGGGCTTCGTCGGCCTCACCACGCGCAAGTTCCTCTCCGACCCGACCCTGCCCGCGCCGGAGGCGACGGCGTGCGTCTCGATGATCGAGGCCGCCGTGGCCGACAACGGACACAGGCCCTCAGGTGAGGAAAAGGTACCGATACGGCTACTCTCGCCCCGTTTTCGCCTTTTCGGGCCTCCTGGGAGGCTCTCGTCGCCACGGCTGGATGGTTCGCTTCGAAGTTTTGGTCAGAACGGACACTGGGAGAGGTCTGGGGAGCAGCGGTGCCGGTACATTCTGGTACCCCCAGGCCCAGGCTCGGCGTCTCCCTGATGCTCAGCATCGTTGGCAGCTTCGTCACGCGGGTGCTGGCGCTCCTGTCGCTGGCCTCCAGCTCCATCCTCGTGTGGTCCAGGGAGGGCGCAAGCGGCTCCGCCTTCGAGCTGCTGGTGCCCTTCGACAGCGGCGCGCTCTACCTCGGCATCGGCGCCCTGCTCACGGTGCCCACCGCGCTGCTGACCTTCACCGGCTCCTTCGTGCGCCTCGTCGGGGACTTCCTGCTGGCCGGCGTCGAGCCCGGCACGGACCTGGCGGCGAAGATGCCGGCCAACTCGATGCGCTGGGTCGGCGGCGGTGCCATGACGGTCGCCGTGGCCTACAGCCTCGCCAGGTTCCTGGGCGCGGGCCTGGTCCGCAGGCCCCGTGCGGCGCAGTCCGCCGGCGACGTCGAGGCGAGCACCGGCGCGGACTCGCTGCTCGACATCGGGGCCCGCAACGCGAGGGTGCTGGCGGGCGCCGTCGCGGTCGGCGCCCTCGGCCTGGCCATCTGGCTCTTCGCCACGGAGGGCTTCAGCGCCTTCAGCGTCTTGATGGTCGTGGCCATCCTGGTGATGGCCTCGCTGATGGTGCCGCTGGGCGCGATACTGTCGCTGCAGATCGGAGGCTCCTGCTCTCCGGTGTCCGGCACTGTGTTCGTGACCACGCTGGTGCTGTGCCTGGTGGCCCTCGCGACTGGCCAGAGGGATGTGGGCGCAGTGCCAACTATCACGACGCTGCTAGTTGCGGCGTGCGTGGCCGTCTGCTCCGCCAACGACGTGAGCCAGGACTACAAGACCCTGCAGCTGTGCGGCGTCGCCCCGCGCGAGGGCTTCCTGGCCCAGATCTTGGGCCTGCTGGTCGGCTCCATAGTGGTGCCCCTGTCCCTCTACGTCGCCGACAGCGCCTACGGCCTCGGCACCGATGCGCTGCCGGCGCCGCAGGGTAAGATGTTCGCCACCCTGGTGCAGGGGCTGCTGATCGAGGAGGAGCTGCCCTGGTACCCCATCCTCATCGGCGTGGGCGTGGGCGCCTGCGCGGTGGTCCTCGACTACGTCGGCGGCCGCCTCGGCGTGCAGATGCCCGCCATGTCCATCCCCGTCGGCCTCTACCTGGGCGCGGACACGGGCATCGGCATCCTCATCGGGTCCGCCTTCCGCTTTGCGGGCGAGCGCATGCGCGAGCGCACGACAGGCGTGCCGGGCTCGCAGACGCACGAGTGCATCCTGGCCGCGGCGGGCATGATCACTGGCGGCGCTTTCCTGGACCTCCTCCTGGGCGTCGCCATCCTGTTCGGCTTCGACCCCGCGACCCTCAGCGTGTTCTCGAGCAGCGGCGCCGACGGCAAGCTCGACATGCCGCTCGCCCTCTCCGACTCCCTCTCTGTGCTCGGCCTTCTGTTCCTGGGCTGGGTGCTGCTGCACAACTCCCTCCACGGCAGCGGGGACGAGGGGCCGCCCTGCAAGGGTGGCAAGGCGTCGTGCAGCGAGGAAGCGTCCGCTGCGTCGTCGCCCTCCGACGCGCGCGTGGCCCTCTGAGGCTCGGCGTATCCCTCTCGCGGGGCTCGCGCGGCGCACGCCGTGGTTGTGATGAGTGGTGTCGGGGGTTCCGTTTGTCGGCCTGTCAGTACATCGGGTCGTTGTAATCCGTAAGGGCTTCGCCCCCTGCCGCCGGCCCCCTCTCTCGGAGAATGCGCCATGTAAGAGCAGGTTTTGGACCCTGACCCCGCGGATCTGCGTGAGGGGTGGCACCGAATTTCAGAAATGTGGCAAATCCCTTTTGTTTTTGGACCCTGATCCCGCGGATCTGCGTGAGGGGTGGCACCGAATTTCAGAAATCTGGAAAATCCCTGTGCTTTTGGACCCTAACCCTGCGGATCTGCGTGAGGGGTGGCACCGAATTTCAGAAATGTAGCAAATCCCATGTGCTTTTGGACCCTGACCCCGCGGATCTGCGTGAGGGGTGGCACCGAATTTCAGAAATGTGGCAAATCCCATGTGTTTTTGGACCCTGACCCCGCGGATCTGCGTGAGGGGTGGCACCGAATTTCAGAAATGTGGCAAATCCCCTGTGTTTTTGGACCCTGACCCCGCGGATCTGCGTGAGGGGTGTCGATTTTGAGCCCCCCCAGCAATTCAGACAACGCGCCCAGGTGGTGCTAAAAATCTGGTTTGGGCCTCCCTCCCCTCGCGCGGTCAATCAACTAGCTACAGTAACCAGCAAGAAGCAGAACTGTAACACTGGAAACTACAAACTACAACTGGTACAGGAAACTGCGAATCACGCGCCTCGCAGCCTGGTGGCCCCACAAGGGGGCCGGCGGATTTTACGAATCTTTCGTTGGTCGGCCCGGCAACAGTTCGGGCCGATGTATGTTTGCGAGCTCAAACAGCGAAGTGGGCGTCGAGGCAGTGGCACCAGCTACCACTGCATCAGCATTGTCTAGTACAACACCCTTGACGGTGTTCAGAGAGGGCAGGTGGGTCCGCGTTGGTCTGAATGTGGAATTTGCACAAGACGTTTCCACTTCCAGCGCGTTACTAGGGCCCACGGTTGTCAGCATTAGCAGAAACACAATCTACTCTGCTAGTACATATCGGACAGGCAACATAAACGTGTATGATTGCCTAACAACTGCATGGATGGAGGGCGGGCCGTCTACAACATGGGGTTTTCGATGGGAACTTCTTCATTTTCATGCGAGCCGGATTCTCAAATCTCTACAAGCATTACACGGATGCAGTTGGCAATGTCTTACCAAGAGAGTTCGCTTGGCCCTTCAGTTGTGCGGCCCTGCGCACTGACCGCCCCGACAACTACAAGCATGGAGGGCGGCTCATTTTCAAATACGGATGTCTAGCCTGAAAGGCAGACCCACGGGGCCCTTGAGACTCCCGTCCTTCAGGGGGATGCTCTAGCTTGAAACAGCTCGAGACTCGAAACGTAAGTTGCCTTCTCTTGCCTTGGCTCTCGGCTGCTGTCGCTCTCTCTCTCTCTCTCTCTCTCTCTTTTTTTTTTTTTTTTTTTTTTTTCTCTCTCTCTCTCTCTCTCTCTCTCTCTCGGTATATATATATATATAGATGTATATATGTGTACATTTATTTGTTCCCAACCATCCTGTGGTGTTGGGTCCTCGTTTTGAATAGACGGTCCCCGCGTTCTCCTCCTCTCGCGCCCCCCCCTCCCTACCGTCCGCATGCGTCCCGCACACCCAGTACAGAGTTTCGTTGCCCCATAGGGAGCCCCACCGAAGGTCCCAGTGCTACCGTCCGTATGCGTCCCGCACACCCAGTACAGCATTTCGTGGCCCCATAGGAAGCTCCACCGAAGGTCCCAGTGCTACCGTCCGCATGCGTCCCGCACACCCAGTACAGCGTTTCGTGGCCCTCCTCCCCCTCCTCCCTGCGTTTCACCCACCCAGTACAGCGTTTCGTGGCCCCATAGGGGGCCCCACCGAAGGTCTCAGTGCTACCGTCCGCATGCGTCCCGCACACCCAGTACAGCGTTTCGTGGCCCCATAGGGAGCCCCACCGAAGGTCCCAGTGCTACCGTCCGCATGCGTCTCGCACACCCAGTACAGCGTTTCGTGGGCCTCCTCCACCTCCTCCGTGCGTTTCACCCACCCAGTACAGCGTTTCGTGGCCCCCCGAAGGCCCCAGTGCCCCCGTCCGCATGCGTCCCAGAAGCCCAATTTGGCATTTTCACTCATCCAGTGCAGCGTTTCGTGGCCCCATAGGGGGCTCCACCCAAGGCCCCAGTACCACCGTCCGTATGCGTCCGGGAAATGCAATTTGGCATTTTCACCCGCGCAGTGCAGCGTTTCGTGGCCCCATAGGGGGGCTCCACCGAAGCCCCCAGTGGGACCGTCCGCATGCGTCCCGGTAACCCAATTTGGCATTTTCACTCACTCAGTAGAGCGCTTCGTGGCCCCACAGGGAGCTCCACCGAAGCCCTCAGTGGGACCGTCCGCATGCGTCCCGGAAACCCAATTCGGCACACCACCCACACAGTACAGCGTTCCCCCCGCCCAGTGCAGCGCTACGTGGCCCCATAGGCAGCTTCACCGAAGCAGATATTCACGATTGCGGTACCCACAACTTCATATGGTTGGGACCTTCGCCAGGATCATTTATGCACATGTTTTTGTCGTCTTTCTCTCTCCCTCCTTCTCTGTCTCTCTCTCTGTCTCTCTTTCTCTCTCTTTGTCGTCTTCTCTTTTTCGTCATCTTGCCTGGCCCACTTCAGATCACAGACCCCAGGAGCCCCCCCAAAAGTGAATGTCGGGCTGACGTCAGCTGACCACCTCACCAATCCCCGCCGGGCCGATGCCTGGCCCAGGATGGGCCCAGTCATGATCGGTGAGGCGGTCGGTTGACGTTCCCGCATATCGGGTCGGGCGAAAGGGGGGAATTGGGAAAGGGGGGGTTACGAAATTTGCTGCATGCAGCTGGTTTCGGCCTCACCGAGGGGCCAATGCCTCGATACATGGCCGCTCCCGGCGCCAGGAGGCGCCGGGAAAATCAGCTAGGTGAGCTGATTCCCAACCCCCCCCTGTGCTATCCCCCCCTTTCGCCCGACCCGAGAAGAGCGGACCACCGGGGCCGAAGAGAACCCTCCCCCTGGGCGTGCGGGAGTCGCCCCGCCGTGGCCGCCCCCTCGGCAGCAGAGCGCCCAGGCCTCCGAGCTCCCCCGCCCCTCCCCTGCTGACTCGCCCGGGGGCGGCCTCGCTTCTCCTGGGTCTGCGGAGTGTTGCATCTGTCAATCAGGAGGGAAGAAAACACACAGACACAATTAATCGTCGATTCCCCAGAAAATACAGGAAAATATGGGAAGTGGGGGGAAGACAAAAACCCAGAAAATATAGGAAAATATGGGGAATCTTTTTGTTTGTGTGCATTTATTGAATCGCTTCGCTCATTCCGCTGGCCCATTTCGCATGACTGAGCCTCTTGGGGCCGCTGAGAGGCCTCTTCAGCGTCGCTTGGGGGCCTCCTGAGGGCCTCTTGGGGGCTTTTGGGGCCTCTCAGGGGCCTCTTGAGGCCTCCTGGGGGCTTCTTAAGGCCGAGGGCTCGAAGTTTTGTTTTGTGTTCCCCCTTTGGGGCATCGCTTGGGGCCCTCTTGGGCCCCTCTTGGGCCGTCTTGGATGCCTCTGGGGCCGTCTTGGAGCCCTCTTGGGCCATCTTGGGGCCTTCTTGGGAGCTTCTTGGGCCCTCTTGGGGCGATCTTGGGGGCCTCTTGGGCCGTCTTGGGGCGTCGGGAAGCCGAAAAGATGGACACGCCAAAATCTGCCCAAAACCTAAGGAAAAGTAATGAATTTTGCCTCTTGGGGCCCTCTGGGGAGTGCTCTTGGAGGCCTCTTGGGGCGTCTGGGGGCCATCTTGGGCGTCTTGGAACGATCGTGTGGCATCTCGGAGCACTCTTGAACCATCTTGGAGGGCTCTTGGCGGCCTCGTGGCCCTTCTTGGGGCTCTCTGGAGGGCCACGGGGGCGGCGCCCAGGAGGAAAACCATCTCTGACCCGAGTCTGCCGGGGATCGCCCGGGGTACTTTTCGTCCGGGGACCCCCAGGGGCCGCCCCGCGCGCGCGAAGTAGAAGTATTATTTAGCAGTTACCGGAGATCTTAGCACGCCTCTGGCCCGTTGGGCCGGCGAATTTGTGTGTCCCAGGGCCCCTTCATTCTCCTGGGTCTGCGGAGTGTGGCATCTGTCGAGCCCTCGTGGTTTGCAGCCCCCGTGTGCTTCTGACGCTTGCACCTGCGCGCGGCCAGTCTGCCATTCCGCCGGGGCCCCCGGGAAGGAGGAAAAAGGCAGGCGGGGCGAGAGTGTAGAGCCTGGGCCGCGCGGGCTGCCCGAGCACGGAAGAGGCGCAGGAGGACGACGAGGGGTGTGGTGCCCAGGATAGGGGGCCACACGCGAACCCTACCCCTACCCCCCACGATTTCTGAGGGGGAGGGTGGGGTTCACTTCGTCTGGGAGCTCCCGAGCGATGTGAGCCCCCCCCCCTCAGAAATCGTGTGGGGTAGGGGTAGGGTTCGCATGTGGCCCCCTACAGGAGGAGCAGAGAGGCAGGGGGGGAAGGGGAGAGTGGGCACGGTGACGGAAATCGAAGAAGGAAAAACGACATAATCATAATTTTTTGGCGCTGGGCCCCCCAGGGCGGCGCCTCTGGCGCCGCCCCTGGCGCGCGGAGCGCGCCAGGGAGGGGGGTCCAGCGCAGACGCGCCAAACATTTATGTTCATGCCGCTTTTTCTTCTTCCAGGAAAGTCTTTGTGGCCGTCTCCGTGTCTGGCCCACCTTGCGCCCCGGCGCAGCAGCCGTCGCTGTTCCCGCCGGCGGGGCTGGCCGCGCCACCCGCTTCGGGCGTGACCCGTCCCCCTGAGCGGCCCTCGCCCCCCCCCCCCCCCCTTCTGCGGCCGCCCTCCCTGTCTTCTCCCCTTCTCCTTGCGTTGTGGCACAATTCGCTACACGGCGTCCCCGTCTATATAGCTCCGTGCAGTTACTCTGCCCAGCCGCCGGCGCAAAAAGTGTTTGGCTCACCTTTGGGGTCTCCTGAGGGCATACGTTTCTGGTGTGTTGTGGAGTATTTTGTGCTGCTTGAGGGCTCCGCGAAGCAGAAGGATGCTGCCGAGGCGAAGGATGGATGGGGGATAATGATTATGATCATGAGGAGGAGAAGCGCCGTAGCGAGAGTAACGTACATGAGGAATCGTGAGGGCATGAGGGCTAACATTGTTCATTAGTTTATTCTGGTATTGTCAACGGCAGGGGCCACCAATTAATTAGCCTGCAAAGCGGAAATCACAGCGGGCCCCATGGGGAACCAACACGCAAATCTCCCGATGAGTGTGTGTTGAAGGGCTTCGCCTGGACACATGTGCGGCCAAACATTTGGCTTTCGAGAGGCACAGCACGGTTTTTTTCGAGGCACCTGGGGCTCTGTTGGGGCCGTGACTTCGGAGGTCCCGGGGTCGTTTTGGATAGTTTTGGGGCCGCTTGGGGCGGTCTCGGGATCGTCTTGGGTTGGTCTTGGGTCGGCTTGGATCAACTGTGGGGCCGTCGTGGAGGCCAGCCGGGAGCCTCTGGAGCCAGTTGGTGCCATCTTGGGGGCAACTTGGGTTATTGTGGTGCACCTCAGAGACAGGAAAGTACACACGGCGAAGGGATGGCCGATCCCCCCCGCATGCAGGAAGGGCGAGCCCTCCCGCTTCGAGCAGGCGGCCTCTGAGGTGTACGCCTGGTGGGAGCTGACGCCCGACATCCGTGGCAGCGACTGCAAGGTGCACGGCAGGGAAGGGCGAGCGAGAGAGGGAGAGAGAGGGAGAGAGCGAGAGAGAGAGAGAGAGAGAGCGCGAGAGACAGACAGTGAGAGATACAGAGAGAGAGAGAGAGAGAGAGAAAGAGAGAGAGAGAGAGAGAACATGAGAAAGAGAGAGAGAGAGAGAAAGAGAAAGAGAGAGAGAGAGAGAGAGAGCGAGAGAGAGAGAGAGAGAGAGAGAGCGAGAGAGGGAAAGAGAGCAACAACAATCAGATATTATTGCCCTGGACGTGATCCCAGTTGGCGCCAAGCCGTGCAGGCCGTTCTGGCATCAGCGGCAGCGTACCTGGACGCAGTTTTTCTCGAGTGGTCTTCGAGGACGCCTGCGGCGAATCACCGCCGCCCCCTGCCTTCTGACATCGCCCATGTGGCCGAGCACTTGGGCACGGCACAGGTGCCTCTTCCCGAGTCGTAAGGTCAAGATGCGTCGAGGTGTGGGCTCCCCAGAGAAGATGCCGCGGTGTGATGTTCTTTTTGTTTTTGCTCGAGCTTGGCCTGTGGACAATTAGACAGCACAACATTCCACCACTCTACTGGCATGCCAGCGATGGGGCAGCGATATGTATAAAAATGCATCTAGGGCCAAAGGGCCGACGTGTAGTGCGCGTGCTTCCAGCAATAGGTAAAGGCTTCTTCGCGTTCAAATTCAAGGCCGCCCCGACTGTGTGAATGATCACGGATGGTGTAAAGGCCGTCGCCGAGAAGACGGTATTTTGTCCGCCATGCGAACTAGCTGGCCGCTGCGCGCTTGCCACCAAACCCACGTGCTTTGCCTGAAGGGTTTAACCAACTCTTTTGCCAGTTCGGACTGGGAATGCATGGACGTGGCGGTGAAGTTGGGAACGCGCGAGGAGGACAGATTTCCCTGTCGCCAGCGAAATCGCCAAAGAGTCATGTTTTTGTATTCCTCCGACCGCCCAAGTGGGGGGCATGATGGGGGACCCTATCATAGTTGCTAACTTTGTCGAGGATTTTGAGCCACCAGTCTTAAAATGGAGCTACTGGCATTGGCAACAAGACCCCACAGGAATAGCCCTCACGGCTGAACGGGGACCCTATTGTGCTGATTTGCGTTTAAGTTAGTTTGTTGATGATCTCTTGAAGTTTATCCTAGCCCCCCGGTTGAACTTTCAACAGGCTCATGAATACGATCCGAACGTCGGATGCTGCTCTCGATGAGCAAGTAGAGCAATGCGGCTACAATCAAAACCCCAGTAATCAGGAGTTTCTGTTTTGTTTACAGGGGGCGGGCAGCACGATATGTAGACAATTTCTTACAAACCCAGATTATCACGGTTTGAAAGGTCGAGTGCTCGATTATGCTCGCTATTTGGGCTCGCATTTGGTCCAGCGGAGCACGCCAACGCACGAGATTGAACGAAGAATCTAGGCGGCCCGCACCTCTTTCCATTCCTTCCGCGCTGTTTGGACATTGTCTTTGCCGCATCAGTTCAAGATATGCTTGCTCCTCTGTTTTGTGGTCAACGCGCTCCTAAGTGGGCTCGAGAGTTTCGTGATTGCCGCAAAAGACTGCCAGAAGTTCGACCGACAGTTGGCATGGTGCTGCAGAGTCAGGAGACGCATGAGAACTGCGCCACTGGGGCCTTCGGTGGAGCTCCCTCTGGGTCCACGAAGCGCCATACTGGGTGGGGGAGACGCATGCGAACTGCGCCACTGGGACCCTCGGTGGGGCCCCCTGTGGGGCCACGAAGCGCTGTGCTGGGTGGGGGAGACGCATGCGAACTGCGCCACTGGGACCTTCGGTGGAGCTCCCTATGGGGCCACGAAGCGCTGCACTGGGCGGGGGAGACGCATGCGAACTGCGCCACTGGGACCTTCGGTGGAACTCCCGGTGGGGCCACGAAACGCTGTGCTGGGTGGGGGAGGCGCATGCGGACTGCGCCATTGGAACCTTCGATGGAGCTCCCTCTGGGTCCACAAAATGTTGTACTGGGCGGGTGAGACGCGTGCGAACTGCGGAGGAGTGAGGAGGAGGAGAGGAGAGGAGAGGACATGAGAGGAGGAGGAGGAGGAGGAGGAGGAGGAGGAGGAGGAGGAGAGGAGGAGGAGGAGGAGGAAGGAGGAAGGAGGAGGAGGAGGAGGAGGAGGAGGAGGAGGAGGAGGAGGAGGGAGGAGGAGGAGGAGGAGGAGGAGGAGGAGGAGGAGGAGGAGGAGGAGGAGGAGGAGGAGGAGGATCGCGGGTCGCTGTCTCTTCAAAACGAGGACCCAACACCCCAGGACGGTTGGGAAACCACGCAAGGACAGTGAATCAGTTTTTCATTTTGGGGCCCTCTTGGAGGTCCTCTTGGAGCGCTCTTGGGTCGTCTCGGGGCCATATAGGGCGTCTTCGAGCGTGCTTTGGCCTCTCGGACCCTCTTGGGCGCTTCTTGGGATCCTCTTGGCCTATTTTGGGGCCCTCGGGTGAATAAAACATGGGCGGCGAGTGCGCGTGCTCTGAGTTGAATTAGCAGGGCGGCACGTGCTCTTAGTCACATTCGCAGAGCGGCGCCCTGCTAATGAGAGGAGGAGCAGTGAACGCGCACACCCTCCGAGGCCACTTAGCAGAGCGGCGCTCTGGCCAATCAGAGCCCGAGCAGGACGTGACACCCTGCTCTGGGGCCAATTCGCAGAGCAGCGCTCTGCCAATGGGGGGAGGAGCATCGAGCCCGAACAGTCCGAGCATGTGGGGCCCCCACCCCCTAGAATACAAGAGCACAGGCCTCAGGACGGAGAACGCTCAGGAGGGAAGCAAGCACACAAACACAATTCATCGTCGATTGCCCAGAAAATATGGGAAACTATGGGAAGTGGGGGGGGGGGAAAACAAAACACCCGAACATATGGGAAAACATGGGGAATCCTGTTATTTTTGTGTGTTTATTTGTGTGTCCCAGGGCCCCTTCAAACACATGGACAAACACATGGAGCCTGGGGACAACTCCCCTCGCGCCTCGCGGCACGGTGGCGGATTCTTCCACGGTGTCAAGCCGAGCAGTGTCGCACCTGTCCGCAGGGGAATGTGTGTTCCGTATTTCTCGAGGCTCAAGCAGGCCCAGGCCTCTTCAGTCCGTGCGCCTCGTCGTCCTGGAGTTGGCGAGGGGGATACTCCAGATTTCGTAATAAAAGGGAGGGGGTCTGGACCCTCCAAGACAAGCCATTTCAGACCTCCCCCGTGGGAGAACCCTCCAAAACATCGTCCCCAGATCCCCCAGGCCCTCCAAGATAGCCTGGACGAGACCCCCCCCCGAAATGAGACCCCCCTCCCTGTATTACGAAATCTGGAGTGTCCAATCGTGTTTTTGTGGGCCCAAAAGCGCTTCCTCGCTGCCCTGACTGTCTTGTCGTGGTGCACCGTGACTGCCCGGCGGCAGGACCCTCGCAGCTGAAAGAGGTGGGGCCCTCTTGGGCCGTCTTGGGGCCCTCTGAGGCCGTCTCGCGGGCCTCTTGGGGGCCTCTTGGGTCGTCCTGGGGCGATCTTGGGGGCCGCCTTGGGGCGTCGGAGGCCCGAGAAGGCGAGAACGCCACAATCATTGAAGCACCGACGGAATAGCAATGGCTTTGGCCTCCTGGACGTCCTGTTGAGAGCCTCTTGGGCCGTCTTGAGGGCATCTTGTCATGGGTCGTCTTGGGTGCATCTTGGGCCGTCTTGGAGACCTCTTTGGACCATCTTGGGCGCTCTCGGGGCCATCTTGGCCGTCTTCGAGGCCATCTTGGTCGTCTTGGAGGCCATCCTGGGGCCGTCTTGAGCGGGAGCGCCGACGGACCAGACATTTTCGCTGACTTTCCCGGGCTTTCCAGGTGGCTGGCGGGCTGGGCTGGAGGCCTGTGGGAACTTTAGGGAAGGGCTGACGCAACCCGAGGTCCAGCACGCCATGCACCTCTTTGGCACATCAAGAGGGGGCGGCGGATCAAAGACTCCTACGGCGAATCACCGCCGCGGCCTGCCTGTTGGAACTGCCCATGCGGCCAAGCGTTGTGCCGAAGTCTGGCCAAGCTATTGGACTATGTGTTCCCCCGGCCGTTGTGGAACGCGTTGGGGGAACGCTCGGGAGAGGAAGAGGAATGAGGACGAGGAGGAGGAGGAGGAGGAGGAGGAGGAGGAGGACGAGGAGGAGGAGGAAGAAGAAGAGGAGGCCTCTGGAAGCCCTCTTTGGGCCTACGGGGGGCTTCCTGGAAGCCTCTTGGGTACCTCTGAAGGGCCTCTTGAGAATCACGAGGCGGCCCCAGCCGTGGCAGCGAGAGCGCCCCCGGAGGCCCAGTCAACAGAACTCGGTCCTCGACTCTCGATCCTCCTCCGTCCCCCTCGTCGATCCGCCGCGCACAGTGCATCCGTGGGCCCTTTCCACCGTTCGCTGCCCGAGCAGCCGCTCTCTTCGAGCAGCTCTTCGTCCGACCCCTTGGGGTCGTGGTCGTGCCGCGCCGAGTCAGCCGCAGACGAGACCGCCCGCGCGCTGGCCCACCGCCTCATGGACCTCGATCCTCGGCCATCTTCTTTTTTTACGTTGCCGAGGAAGATCCGAGGGATCGTTATGGCTCAAGGGGGGCTCAATTGATCTACCGCTTGCGCCCGTGCGCTGGTGTTCGGGATGGTGTCTTGCTTGAACGAAGATGCGCATTATCCTGTGGCGAATCTCTTCAAGAAGGACGGCTCTTACCTGCAGAGCGACACGGACCCCCAGTTGCTTGTAAGCGTGCCCTTCGCTGAGCCAGTGTGCATCGCAGGGCTCCGCATCGAGGCCACAGCTGGAGACGAAGAGGCTCCTGCACGCGTCAAGCTGTTCACCAATCGCCCTGACATTGGATTCGACGAGGCAGAATCAGATGAGCCCTTGCAGTCTTTTGAGTTGGCGCTTGCTGATACGAAGGCTGGGGCACCAGCGCTGGAGCTACGACGTGCGAAGTTCCGCTCGGTGCACTCGCTGCAGCTGTTTGTAGAAGAAAACTATGGTGCAGATGTGACACGCCTCACATACCTTCACATCTTGGGTGAGGCAAAGCATAGCGGCTCTGGTGATGGATTTGGCTTGCCGATTCCTGCTGGTTTTAAGCTCGACGCCATTACGGAGACGCCGCCTTCCTACTTTTCGTGAGAGCGATCGGCGCGTACCTTGCGCGTTGTAGTGTTCGAAGTCGTTCGTGTTCGCTGGCGGGCAGAAAGACATGGACACACACACACACATATATATATATACACACATATAATAAGAAATATGTACAGCATAGGGGTATCAATATAGAGAAACAACAAACATCCTCGGGATCGCTGCGTTTCGATGCCGTAATCTCGATCAGTCAAGAAGCAAGATCAGAGCAGTTAGAGACGATTATCGGCAGGCCCAGGCGAGCAGCGGCGCAAGCGCTAGCAGAAAGAAAGGCAATACCACTGGGAAACAGATGGGAAGCCCGCGGACGCTGCCACGCCTGGGTAGGGGAACGCTCGACCCCGTGCCGGAGGGGACGCCGTGCAGCGAGCATGCCAACGGATTCACGAGTTCGGCGCAGGAGTGTCGCACATTTTTGTTCGGACGGCGCCTCCTCCGGGCCCCTCGATAGGGGGCCACATGCGAACCCTACCCCTACCCCCCACGATTTTTGAGGGGGAGGGTGGGGTTCACTTCACCCTTCCCCTCAGAAATCGTGGGGGGTAGGGGTAGGGTTCGCATGTGGCCCCTCGAGCCGCCAGGGGCACCCCCGAGCCTCCCAGCCGCGCCCCTCTCGCAGCCGCCAGCGCGCGAGGTGCGGTGCTCCCAGGGCGGCCAGTGGCTCACGGTCGCCGTGCGCGGCGTCGCCATCTTCGCCGGGGCCCCAGCCGTCGCGTTGGCCGCCGCGCGGCCTCCTCGGCCCCCTCCGGGCCGTCGGGGCCACGCCTCGACGTCGAGAGGGCGGCGCTCGAGGGCGAGGAGGAGGAGGAGGAGGAGGAGGAGGAGGAGGAGGAGGAGGAGGAGGAGGAGGAGGAGGAGGAGGAGGAGGAGGAGGAGGAGGGGAGGGGTGTGAGTGTGTGTGTGTGTGTGTGTGTGTGTGTGTGTGTGGTGTGTGGTGCCCTCCGCCCCCCCCTGCCGCCCTCCTGGGGCGGTGGCGCCTGGCCTGCGCGGCCCTCTGCGCGCCCGCCCTCTGCGCGCCCGCCCGGCGGCGCGCGCCAGAGGCGCGGAGCTGTGCTGCGCGCCAGCGGCAAAGAGTGGCACGAACATGAAAACTCGGAGGTCCGCGCGGATTTCTCGGATCGGCGCTGGACCCCCCTCCCTGGCGCGCGGAGCGCGCCAGGGGCGGCGCCGGAGGCGCCGCCAGGGGGGCCCCAGCGCCGATCCGAGAAATCCGCGCGGACCTCCGAGTTTCTATGTTTATGTCACTTCTTGTTCCCCTAGAGATGGGCCAGGATTGGCCCGGGGGAGGGGTCTCGAACGGGTTTTGGGGCACGGGGTGGCGCGAGGAGGGGGGGGTGGCCTTCGGAGGTGGCAGTGCGGCTTCTGAGAGACCCTCCCGCCTTCTGAGATGTGCTCCCTGAAAGCTTCGTGCAAGAAGCCTCCTGCCTTCTCAGAAGGCGGCTCCCCCTTCTCTTGCCTTGGATCGATCGAGCTCGCATCTAATGGCATGCGTGTGGATTGATCGATTGATCTGGATCGACCAGAGTGACGTTTGGATCGGCAGGATGATCGCCGCGCCAAAAAATGATGCTGCGTCTGTTGCTCGCGCTGCTCGCAGGACGCCGAGCTGTTCCAGCCCGTCAGGGGCGCCGACACCCTCTGGGAGGTCTTGGACGGAACGCTGCACGTCACGCTGACGAAGGCACGCTGGGCACGCCTGGAGGAGGATGAGGAGCAGCAGGAGCAGGAGGAGGAGGATGAGAAAGAGGAGGAGGAGGAGGAGGAGGAGGAGGAGGAGGAGGAGGAGGAGGAGGAGGAGGAGGAAGAGGAGGAAGAGGAGGAGGCGGAGGAGGAGGCGGCGGAGGCGGCGGCGGCGAACATCGAATGGTCAAGCGTCAGAGGTCAGCAAATCAGCAGCGACCGATGAGCGGTGTGGCCATCGAGGAGGAGGAGGAGGAGGAGGAGGAGGAAGAGGAATAGGAGAAGGGAGGGAAGGAGGGAGGAGGAGGACCAGTGTAAGCCCGAGACTCATCAACGATGTTGGAATAAACCCTCCCTCCAAGCTCCTCCTCATAGGCTCATACAAGGATACATTTCCACTGAAATAATGCCCCGTTGGGTGTCCCGTGCCAAGGCAACATTCTCGAGACTCCAGCACCACTAATCAACCTAACTGTTTCATGTTGGCGATCCTGCTTTGTGCCAGAGCACCATTCCTGGGACTTCAACACCACGAATCAACTCAATTGTGACTCCTTGACAATCCTGAACTGGTCTAAATCACCGTTTCTGGTACGTTGAACATCTCTTGCAATGTGTTAGACGAATGTGCGTGGCGCTAAGACGAGAGCCACATGTTGTGAGCAACCCGACCTCCATCTGTGAAGCTGTTGCCCATTTGAAGCTTCAAGATCATAGATTGTGAGGAAGTCTCAGGCAAAACGCCCGGGCCGCCTTTCCGACTGGCTGCGGGGTGCGACGGGGAGGAGTTATTCATCAGGAAAAGTAATGGAGGATGAGGAGGAGAAGGAGGGGGAGGATGAGGATGAGTTCGGAACGATGCTGATGATGGTGATGATGATGACGAGGAGGAGGAGGAGGAGGAAGGAGGAGGAGGAGGAGGAGAACCAGTGTAAACCCAAGACTCATCAACGGTGATGGAGTAAACTCTCCCTTCAAGCTCCCTCTTTATAGGCTCTGACAAGGGTTCTTTTCCACTGAAAGAGTGCCCCGTTGGGGGAAACCCGTTTAAGATCCCGAAGCGTGCCAAAACAACATTCTCGGGACCCCAGCGCCACGAATGAACCTAACGGTTTCGTGTTGACGATCCTGAAATGTGCCAGAGCACAATTCCTGGAATTTTCAACACCCCGAATCAGAGCAGCTGTTGTGCATTGATAATCCTGAATCGTTCCAAATCGCCGTTTCTGGTACGTTGACCATGTGAACCCGTGAAACTCTTGCAAGGTGTTCGACGAATGTGCGTGGCGCTAAGACGAGAGCCACATGTTGGAAGCGATCCGACCTCCTGTGAAACTGTTGCCCATTTCAAGCTTCAGGATCACATATTGAGGAAGTCTCAGGCAAAACGCCCCGGCCGCCCGTCTGAATGGCTTCGGGGCGCGACGGGGAGGAGTTGATCCATCAGGTAAAGGTGCGGAGGAGGAGGAGGAGGAGGAGGAGGAGGAGGAGGAGGAGGAGGAGGAGGAGGAGGAGGAGGAGGAGGAGGAGGAGGAGGAGGAGGAAGGGGAGGGAGGAAGGAGGAGGAGGAGGAGGAGGAGGAGGAGGAGGAGGAGGAGGAGGAGGAGGAGGATCAATTTAGAGCCAAGATACATCCGCGCTGCTGCTACACACCCTCCCGTCCCTGGTCCCCTCCGCATGATCCTCACCAACATTTTTTACCAATGCGGGATCCCCCCCATTGAGAGACGAGCGCTCTATGGACCTGCCACTCAGGTGTTAGCTCTCGTGGACACATGAGTTGCTCTGCATCGTCCTACGTATACGGCATACGAATGCGGAGGAGGAGACACTTTGATAGGATGAGTCCGAGAGCACCGTCTGAAAATGAGCCGCTCTCCATCTGCGTATTTTTTGTGCACATGTGCACTTCTGATCATGGCGCGTGAAGATGTCTCAAAAGCGAGATGCCCGTTCTGAAAAGGAGCTGTCCTCCACCCGGGCATTCTTGCAACAGTCTGCCGATCTCGCCATAAGTCGCCAGGGACTGTCAGGCGAGAGTCCTGTTTGGAATGGAGCCGCAAGCGCTAGCCCCGTTTGAAGATGAGCCGCAATCTCTCCGGATAACTGTTACACAGCTTCCTGTTTCTGGTCATCATTCACAATGCAGTCTTAAGCTGTAGCACCGTTTGAAAGCGAGCCGCCCTCTATGCGGGCGGCCGCTGGCATTTTTTTATGCCGAATGTGCCGACGCTAGCAGGAGACCCACATGTTCAAAACCACACGCCCTCTACCCGTGTACTTGTTGGGCGATTTGAGACACTGTTCGCAGCGCTGAGAACAACGTTTTTGAAGCCACCCGCCATCAACCTGTGCTACTTTTGGAAGTTTCGAGCCTCAGGACCATCAGCGGTGAGGGAGTCTCAGGCGCCGCCTGGCCTCCTTAAAGGCACGTCTAATGGCGTGGCGATCAGGAGTTATTCGCAACGCAGTAAGTGACGGGAGAGGAGGAGGAGGAGAAGGAGGAGGAGGAGAAGGAGGAGGAGGAGGAGGAGGATAGTCGATGATAGGGGATTGAGTTGTCTGGCCTCTTTTGTATCACTGGGGTGGGGTGTGTGGGGGGAGGGGTGGTGGTGGTGGTGGTGGTGGTGAGGACGAAGAGGAGGAGAAGGAGGAGGAGGAGGAGGAGGAGGAGGTCTTCCTCGAATTAGGCCTCAGCTGTACCCCATTCAGGAGAGGCCGCTCCCCGCTCCCTCTCTCTTGGCAGGCGTGAGACGGCGGACGAGGGCGAGAGCGACGACCACGACGATGCCGATGTTGACAGTGATGTCAGTGAGGAAGCGTATTATGGGGACGAGGATCAGGATGGCCATGAACATGGATATGAGGAGGATGATGAGGACGTTGCTATGTTGCCGACGCTGATGGTGGTGATGCGGTCGACGACTAGGATGGTGATGCTGCTGATGATGCTGATGATGGTGATGATGATGCTGCTGATGCTGATGATGATGCTGACGATGATGAGGCTGATGCTGATGATGCTGATGCTGACGCTGATGCTGATGCTGATGATGATTCTGCTGCTGCTGACGATGATGCCGATTACTGTTTTTCATTTTATTATTATGCTGCTGATAGCGATGATGATTATGCTGGTGGTGATGATGACGATGGTGATGATGATGGTGATTATGATGGTGGTGATGATGACGATGCCGATGACGATGACGGTGACGATGATGATGAGGCTGATTCTGATGCTGATGATCATGATGATGCTGATGCTGATGCTGATGCTGATGCTGATGCTGATGCTGATGCTGATGCTGCTGCTGCTGCTGATGTTGATGATGATGCTGCTGCTGTTGCTGCTGCTGGGGGATGATGATGAGGAG